TTAAGGATGTAGAAGCTCTCTCTTTGTTTGGCCAGTAGTTCATAAATGGCCTACAAGTCTTTGCTTTGGTGAGCTACAGCTCACCTAATCAGCTGAAATAACAAGACGGACAAATACAGATATGCAAATTTTCATCTGATGGACTGCAGTTTACAAAAGCTTATACCTTTTAATAAAATGTGTTAATTGGAAAAGTGCTACCAGATTCCTGGTTTGTTTTTTTTTTTACACCATAGATTAACATGGATCTCCTCCTATAAAAGTCTTTGGAAGCCCATACCATATTAAAACCTATTAAATAACTATGGAGTTTCAGCCTAATTTGGAAAGTTCAAATAGCGTACCCGTCTTGGCCCAGAGCACTTAAAAATATATATTTTGAACTTTTCAAGTGCCTGAAAATATGCTTGTCTATTACTGTTACGTTCCTGTAATTCTTTTTAAAAAGGGCCGGTATACTGTACTTGTTAGGAAATGATTCTTGTGCTGGAGAGATTGGTATTCATATCCTCACTTGGTTTCAAAAATGATAGGTCAGCCACCACTTTTCAAGTGGATTTATCTGAGCAATGAAGAGAGAGGGAGAGGGAGGGCCAAATATGTTGTTCTGACTTTGAAAACAGCATTTGGACATAAGATTGTAACCACAAACCTTTAAAAAAAACTTTTTCTTTAACCAGTACATCAACTGGAATCTTGAAGCCTGTTCTCTAGCAGTTGATTGTTCAATTGATTTGTGTTGAATTAGAAGCAATCAAGTATGCAATTAATCAGAAAATGGAACAGCTAAGCTTATCTGAGCTTGTATGCAACTACAAACAATTTTCACAATAATATTATCTATACTGATCTAAAATGGATTATTTCAAATACAACTGATTAATGTTAGCATCCCGCACTTTTGAACAAATGTCTCTTCTTGCTCACATTCCGTGGAGTGATACAAATTAAAGAACATATCAAACTCATCAAAATTTCTGTTTTTATGCCTCCTCCCCCCCCCCAATTTTATGGATAGGGGAGGAACCAGCTTTAACTTAATCCTAGCAATTCTGAGTGGCTGTGGATTGTAGGGCCACCTGGATCCAGGGATTTTCCATCTCTAACCTTGGATGGGTTAGCACTTCCCCATTCAAGAGCAGTGCCTTCTCTGTCACGGCGCCTGCCCTGTGGAA